GGGGGGGACACAGCTGGGGGGAGGCTCCACAGCCTCCCTTGGTGGGACAGTGCTGGCACCAGCCGGTGGGACCCTCTGGCACAGCCCAAGAGCTTTTCTTACCAACCTACCCCCACGCTTTTGCCCAAGGCAGTTGCTGTGGCTAACAACCTGGCCTGCCGGGGCTTGGACCACCTGGAGGAGAAGATCCCTGCCCTCCAGTACCCTGTCGACAAGGTAAGTCGCAGGCGGGACAGTCTGGGACCCCCCAGCAGGACTCGCAGCATGTCTCCTCTGCTCTTGTTTCTGGATGGTGATGGGTGGCTCGGGGGGAAAACAGTGCAGCACCTCCAAGCAAGGGCTCCTCCAGGGGCTCCTGCAACCCAGGGGATGGTTGGGGCGTTCCCAGACATAGGTCAACAGCATCCTGTGTCCCATCCCTGCCAGCTAACTCCAGCCCAGGCTGGAGAGAGCTGTTATGCCCCTCTCAGGGCTGCCTGCTAGCATGGCCATGGCTGGGGTCCCTGTGGTCCCTCCAGCTGTCCCACGCCACACTGAGCACACCAGCAGGGCTGCTCTCCATCCCTCCACCCGCAGCTCGCATCTGAACTGAAGGACACCATCTCCTCCCCGCTCCAAAGTGCCAAAAGCACCATTGGCAACTCCGTGGATAAGATCATGGAGCTGGCGGCGGAAGGCTATGAGGCCACCAAGAACACCGTGGAAACAACGGCAAGGTACACGAGGAGGAACTCGGTGAGCCAGATGGCAGCCGCAGGGGTCGACACGGCCCTAGGAGGGCTGGAGAAGCTGATGGAGTACCTACTGCCAGAGGAGGACGAAGAAGCAGGTAGTCCTGATGCCCAAATCCCATCTGAAGGTGTCTGGGGAGGGCTGGCTACGTGTGGGGTGGCACCTTGCTCGTGGGGTGCATGTGGCAGGAGGAAGCCCCTGGATTTTGGTGCAGAGCTGCCAAGGAGAGAATGCAAACCGTTTTCCGCTCTTCTGCCTGTGCTCTTCTGCCTTTAGATCAGAAGCCCAGAGAGAAACGTGGGTCAGCAGTAAAGGTCTCCCAGCAGCAGCCCAGCGCTCCCAGTGCTCCCAGCGCTCCCAGTGCTCCCAGCGCTCCCAGCACCCTGGGCCGGATTGGCGCCTTGGTTAGCACCGTCTCCCACCGCGCCTACCAGCAAACCACCCAAAGCCTCCAGCATGCCAAGACCAAAGGGCAGGAGCTGGCCACCTGGATCCCCATCCTGGTGAGTGCCAAAGCTCCTGCTCCTCCATACCCTCTCTTGGGCTAATTCTGCTTTCAGATGAGACATTTTGGGGTCCTTGGAGCACGTCCAAGAGTAGAGCAGTGGGCGCTGCTGGTTCTCATGCTCAGTGAGACGAGCTGGGACCAGCGGTTCCTGCGGCACTTTCACTCACAACCTTGTACCAAGTTAGTGGGACGAGTTATTTTTAGCCATCATCCAATGTATATTGTTGATTTATGGCCTTGCCATAACATCCTCCCTAAAGCAAAAAGCCCCTCCAGGGGCCTGGAGAGGATGGGGAGAAGGAGGCACCTCTCCTCTCCCACCCAGCGCTGCTGTGGGAACCCCCTCCCCAGCCTCTGCCAAAATCCTGGAGCTCCCAGCTGCTCATGCGCATAAATGAACCCCTCTGCTCCCTGCGCACCCCAGGGCCCCCGTGAAATCCTCAGGATAAGCAGGGTGGGGTGGATGGGACCGTCCGGCCGCCCCCAAGCAGTGGCTTTCTGCTCCCCTTCCAGGGCAGGCTGGCCAAGCCAAGCACACCCGAGGTGCCGCAGGTCCACGGTGATGGGCAGAGCACCGCGGCCGGCTGGCTGAGCCGGAGGCAGAGCAGGGTGCCAGAGGAGAAGCAAGAGAAGGCAGGGAAGAAAGATGACAACCACACCAAGGAGGTATGGAGAAAAGGGGCACAGTGAGCCAGGGGGGCTGTGAGCCAGGGGAACCCCAAGGCTGCCTCCTGCCCATGGATCACGAATGTTCCCCCCATACGCTTGGGGACCAGGCCCCCATCCCTGCTGAA